GATCTATCGTAGTCCTTTCGATAAGTAAGAGTGTCGAACCCAACGAGGAGCAGAAGGAAATGACAAGCGATTTTCAGTAAGGTATTCTCTATAAGCACTGAAATTATTGGTAACAGATAGTTTTGTGATAAGATAATTGGTAACGAGTAACATGCAATAAATTAAATAAGGTGCAACAAGATGGCCCAATCCTTTTTGTAGCAAAGGACAAGCCTGGACAAACTCTTATATAAAGGAAAACGCTCCCGAGGACACGTGGGAATTATCGTCAAGCTAGTTTTCATCACGCTCATATGATTCACGTTCGGTACTTTGATAATTTGATATGTGGGTGGACCAGTGCTTGGGTACTGCCCTTACTTGGACAAGTATCCCACTTATGATTAACCACAATTGCAAGCATCCGCAACTACAACAGAAGAATTAAGGTAAACCTAACCATAACATGAAACATATGGATCCAAATCAGCCCCTTACGAAGCAACGCATAAACTAGGGTTTAAGCTTCTGTCACTCTAGCAACCCATCATCTACTTATTACTTCCCAATGCCTTTCTCTAGGCCCAAACAATGGTGAAGTGTCATGTAGTCGACATTCACATAACACCACTAGAGGAAAGACAACACACATCTCATCAAAATATCGAACAAATACCAAATTCATATGACTACTTATAGCAAGACTTCTCCCATGTCCTCAGGAACAAACGTAACTACTCACAAATAATATTCATGTTCATAATCAGAGGGGTATTAATATGCATAATGGATCTGAACATATGACCTTCAACCAATTAAACCAACTAGCATCAACTACAAGGAGTAATCAACACTACTAGCAACCCACAGGTACCAATCTGAGGCATTGGGGCAAAGATTGAATACAAGAGATGAACTAAGGTTTGAGAGGAGATGGTGCTGGTGAAGATGTTGATGGAGATTGACCCCTTCCCGATGAGAGGATCGATGGTGATGACGACGGTGATGATTTCCCCCTCCCGGAGGGAAGTTTCCCCGGCAGAACAACTCCGCCGGAGCCCTAGATTGGTTCCGCCAAGGTTCCGCCTCATGGCGGCGGAGTTTCTTCCTGAAAGCTTGCTTATGATTTTTTTTCAGGGTAAAAGACTTCATATAGCTAGAGATGGGCATCGGAGGGCCATCAGGGGGCCCACGAGGTAGGGGGCGTGTCCAGGGGGGTAGGGCGCCCCCCACCCTCGTGGACGGTGGCTGGCCCCCTCTGGTATTTTCTTCGCTCAGTATTTTTTATTAAATCCAAAAATGACTTCCGTGAAGTTTCAGGACTTTTGGAGCTGTGCAGAATAGGTCTCTAATATTTGCTCCTTTTCCAGCCCAGAATTCCAGCTGCCGACATTCTCCCTCTTCATGTAAACCTTGTAAAAAAAGAGAGAAAAGGCATAAGTATTGTAGCATAACGTGTAATAACAGCCCATAATGCAATAAATATCAATATAAAAGCATGATGCAAAATAGACGTATCACATGTCATCTTACTTAATGCGTTACTCCGTTCTTTATGAACTTAATACTCTAGATGCATGCTGGAAAGCGGTCGATGTGTGGAGTAATAGTAGTAGATGCAGAATCGTTTCGGTCTACTTGACACAGACGTGATGCCTATATTCATGATCATTGCCTTAGATATCGTCATAACTTTGCGCTTTTGTATCAATTGCTCGGCAGTAATTTGTTCACCCATCATATTATTTTGCTATCTTGAGAGAAGCCTCTAGTGAGACCTATGGCCCCTAGGTCTATTGTCCATCATATAAGTTTCCGATCTACAATATTAGTTTCCGATCTACTATTTTGCAATCTTTTACTTTCTGATCTATAAACCAAAAATACCAAAAATATTTACTTTATCATTTATCTATCTCTATCAGATCTCACTTTTGCAAGTAATTGTGAAGGGATTGACAACCCCTTTATCATGTTGGGTGCAAATTGTTTGATTGTTTGTGTAGGTATTCGGTGATTTGTGCGTTGTCTCCTACTGGATTGATACTTTGGTTCTCAAACCGAGGGAAATACTTATCTCCACTTTGCTGCATCACCCTTTCCTCTTCAAGGGAAAAATCAACGCAAGCTCAAGAAGTAGCATCCTCATAATTAGAAGCCCAATATGGTTCTAATCTCCTCCCTCTAATTCTCCAGCGATGATTAGCTCTAGACGGCGAAGCACTGCCGGATCATGAAGACTGCACACTTCCAACCAAGTAGAGATATGGTACTTTCAGTCTTCGGTTCGATGGACTATTCATGGGCGGTTCGCGGGATCGTTCATCAATGGTTCGAGGGACTCCAAGTACGATCTACACCGACACGTTCTTCTTCCGTTGCAACTCGATGATGGCAACGATCGTGATCCGAACATGTTATGCATCTTCATATTGATCTTGGGTGTGTGTAGGATGCGATTTTTTTTGTTTTCTACTACGCTTCTAACATAAGAAACATGTGGTCGGCGGGCCATCCATTCAAGGAGAGGCCCGTGAACTGCTTTGAGTGAAAAAGGATCTTGAATCTAAACGAAAGCCAACTAAGAGGAGAACTCGCCTGCCAAGCCGAATACTATAGGCCAGAAACATCAGTCCGAGGATGGAGCTTCCGTCATTGGCTTTGAAGACATGTTTAGGGGCTATTGGCGGTGTCCTTAACTAGGGGGTGCCAACCGATGCAACCTAGAATCCCTGGGCCGAGCCTACGACCCACGGATCTCAAATAAGGGAGGACTCTGGAAGCCTCAAACTCAATCGTGTAGACGGATATTGCCGAAGACTTGCCATGTACTTCAAGGACGCTCCAAATGTCGGCGTGTTTATTCCTAGCTGGCAACTCACCATGTGTAACCCTAGATACCCCTGATGCCTATATAAACTAGAGGATTTAGTCCATAGATACATGATCACAATTACCAACCTTAGGGTTTAGAACACAACATACGATCTCGAGGTAGATCAACCTGTACTCGATACTCCATCATCAATATAATCATGTAGCACATAGGGTTTTACCTCTTCAAGAGGGCCCGAACATGGGTAAGCACTGTCTCCCTTGTCTCCTGTTCACCATCGTCCCAAGATCCACAGCTCGGAACCCCCTGTCCGAGATCTACCGCTTTTAGTACCGACAAGCACCCCCAGGTACCAATACGAGGTTTGATACAAAGATTAAACACACAAGATGAACTAGGGTTCATAGATGAGATGGTGCTGGTGAAGTTTTTGATGAAGATGATGATTCCCACGATGAGGAGAGCTTTTGCTGATGATGAAGGTTTCGATTTCCCCCTCTTGGAGGAAAGTATCACTGGCTGAATTGCTCCGCCGGAAAACAAAAGTGCTCTTCCCCTGGTTTCACCTTGAGATGGTGGCAGAAAGTCCCGAAACTCTTCTTCTTATTTTATTTTTCTAGGGCAAATGGCAATATATAGTAGAAGAATGTTGTGAGGGGACCTACGTCGGGTAGTATGCGTGGGATAACATGATCCATATTTGGTTAATCTCGTTGAATTTGAACTATTGTTGTACTAGACATATTTTCATGCTATTTATGGATGCTTTGTGATTTTTTCTATCCAAACCTTGATGAATTCCGTCGTGTTTGATGAAAATCGCTGGATTAGTTGAAATCTGGTTTGAAATGCATATGGATTGCCTTGAATGACCGGCTCCCAACCTCGGGTAATCAAGGGAGCTCCTAGTCAGCGCTGCAGGCGCCCGTTAACGAGCTGGCGCTTGCAGCGTCGCTGGCATGGGCCGGCCCAACGCGCCCTTGCACTCGTTCGCTTTTGAAGTAAAAATTCAATAAAACCTGAGGATAGCTGGGGATTCGAACTCTTGATCGCTTTGTAGCGAGTGCACCACACTAACCACCAGAACAAACTAACTTTCTTGTCTTCTACAAGAAAACAGTTCTAGTTAACCTTTTCATGCAGTAAAACATTAATATATACTCAATATAAATTATCTAAAAAAAACATAAATTCGAAAAAAAGTTCATCAAATTTTAAGCAAAGTTTAAAAAAATGAAAAAGGTTCATCGATTTTCAAAAAAAGTTCACCGAATTTGAAAAAAGTTCACCAAATTCGAAGAAAAGTTCATCGTATTCGAAAAAAAGTTCATCGAATTCAAAAAAAAGTTCATTAGATTCTAAAAAAGTTCATCGAATTCGAAAAAAGTTCATCGAATTCGAAAAAAGTTCATCGCATTTAGAAAAAGTTCATTGAATTTAAAAAAGTTCAAGTAATCTGAAAAAAGTTCATCAAATTTAAAAAAAGTTCATGTAATATGAAAAAAGTTCATCGAATTCAGAAAAAGTTTGCCAAATTTGAAAAAGTTCATGTAATCTGGAAAAAGTTCATCGATTTTAAAAAAATTGTTCATCGAATTTGAAAAAATTTCATGTAATCTAAAAAAAGTTCATCGAAATCAGAAAAAGTTCATCGAATTTGAATACAGTTCATGTAATCTGAAAAAGTACAACGATTTAAAAAAACATGACATTCTTTAAAAAAATCACGCATTAAAAAAACAAAAAAGAAAAAAAAGGGAAAAACGAATAAAACCGTCAAGAATTCGCGAACCAGAAGAAATAAAATTAAAAGAAAGAGCGACTTAACTTAGCACACAACAAGCGCCATGTCGTAGTGGTTGGAGCGCAGCAATCGTAACGAGTCCGGCGTGGGTTCGGTTCCAAGTTCTCTCACTTTTTAACGTTTCCACAAAACTAGAGTGGGCCGGCCCAGCTTGGACTGCTGCAGGCGCCCGTTTGCAAATTGCACTGTAACGGGCGCCTGCAGCGCTAAATAGGAAATGCCGGCAATCAAAATGAAGCTGGCGATATGAGCTGGATCCAGGGCGCAGGCAGAACGTACCACACCACAAGCCCAGCCCATACCAGCTTCCAGTGAGCTCAAGCCCACCCAGTGAATGGCAAACCCACCTGCGCCACCACTTCGCCACCACCGCTTCCCCCGATGCCGTCGTCGACGATCCGGAGCATCTCCATCACAGTATCTGACGACGACGGCGCCGCGGCGCCCCGGCGTACCCGCGCCGGTCGACGGAAGGTGGTGCGCAGCTTGGGGCAGCGCGCCGTGCGGCTCGTGGCCCGGTGGTGGCCTATCCTCCTGCTCCTCCCGGCCGTCGCGCTGCTACTCTTCGAGGCCTCCCGGCTCCGTGCCTCTCCGAGCCCCGCCCCGCCAGTATCGAGCAGCCTTGGCCGCCTAGACCCGACCACGCGCCTCGTCCATGGCGTGCGCGAGCGTGAGTCCCTTACTCTGTTTCGATCTACTCTAGCTCGTCCCCAAATTCCCCGTGCTCTTGTGGTTCCCAACTCCCAATAAAGTTTACCACGGATTTGAGAAATTGGACTGTAAGAGTCGGCTTTCGTAGTAATTTGATAATGCGAGTGCTGTATTGCAGAATGTGCTGAGATTATGGTGGTGTCTTAGACTACTTATCTGCACAAACCATTGGAAAGTATCATGGCAACTGGAGATTTGGACTTAGCAGATCGTGCACATTGGGAAATGGCCTTAATAGGATTATGATTCTCGAAGTCTTCTTAGTTTCTTACAAACCAGATGTTTGGATCTTGATAAGTCAAATCGCATGTCCATACTTAAGTAAAGTTGTTCCAAAAAATCAGAGAGCATGTATCATGTCAAATTTGTTTGGCTGAGTGACTATTATTGGCTTATGTACTAAATAAGGACTTGATTAGTTTTGTATTCTTGATGTTAACAGCGTGCCTGAAGGTTCTTAGCCCGAAGAGTATAGAAAATTTGGTATTTCATGAAGGCTCGGGACTTGATGCTGTGGTCAAGAGGATTATATACAAAACTGACGATGACGACTATGACTCACACCACTCTGAGGCAAACTCTACCTATTTACTGCAGCACGCAGAAGCTACCAGGTTCAATTTGTTTACAGGATTCCAAACAGTTCCTGAAAGAGAAGAGAGCTTCAAGGTTCTTATGCTGGCTAACATACTATTTTGCGGTTACAAACCTATGCCATTTTAGACCCATTTAATGTGTTTCACTACTTCTCCAGGTGAATGAGACTGTTAGTGTGCACTGTGGTTTCTATAGTGACAATGGCGGTTTCAAAATTTCGGATGATGATGTCAGATACATGAGAACCTGTAAAGTTGTTGTGTCTACCTGCGCATTCGGTGGCGGGGATGATCTATATCAACCTATTGGAATGGTCAATTCTTCTATTGGAAAGGTATTTGAGCATTCAGCATTCTCAGAAATGTCGTTTCTGTGTAAACCATCGCATGTGATGGCTCTGAGGATTCAGGATGGATTGACTTATGATAAAGCAGGTCTGCTATGTGGCTTTCTGGGATGCGGTCACACTATCAACTCAAGAAGCTGAAGGAAAATTAACTGGCGACAATGAAATGATAGGAAGGTGGCGTATCATTGTTGTCAAGAATCTCCCCTTTGTGGATCAACGTTTAAATGGGAAAATACCGAAGGTAAATCTGCAGCTGTCATAGTCCATTGTGCCAGCTTCCATATTCTCAAAATACTAGCTCATGTGGGATTTGACCTAATAAAGTACTACCTCCGTCCTGGTTTATTGATCCCCTTCGTACTTTGTGCCAAATTTTGACCATAAATTTAACTAACAAAATGCTAATGGATGTCATAAAAAATTATATCAATGGATTCGTATTCGAACATAGTTTCCAATGATATAACTTTTGTTATGTGTAACTTATATTTTATTAGTTAAAATCATGGTCAAGGAAGGGGAGCCTTGGCGCAGTTGTAAAGCTGCTGCCTTGTGACCATGAGGTCACAGGTTCAAGTCCTGGAAACAGCCTCTTGGAGAAATGTAGGGAAAGGCTGCGTCCAATAGACCCAAAGTGATCGGACCCTTCCCCGGACCCCGCGCAAGCGGGAGCTACATGCACCGGGCTGCCCTTAGTTAAAATCATGGGCAAAATATGACCCAAAATACAAAGGGAACTAATAAACCAGGACTGAGGTAGTAGTCTCTCTGTAAAATGTGAGCCGTATTCGCTATTTCTGTTATTTGGTAATAGTAACTTCAGTTATGCCGCCTCATAAAGTGAACCGCTTAGATGTTAAATCTGCTGATTTGTGTTTTTGCCTTAATTTTACATGTGGGATTGCATAACTATGTACATTCTGGTAGTAAAATGCATAGCATCATTTTTGCAGATGTTGACTCACCGACTTTTCCCAGAAGCAAGTTACTCTATATGGGTAGACTCTAAATACCAGTTCAGAAGAGATCCAATAGGAGTGCTTGAAGCACTTCTTTGGAGGACAAACTCTACCTTTGCTATTTCTGAACATGGAGCACGGACTAACATTTATGATGAGGGGAAAGCGATTGTTCAAAAGCACAAGGCTACTCCTGAAGAAGTAGAGGTTCAGCTAACTCAATATCGTCAAGACGGCATGCCAGATGAAAAAAGACTACATGGATTAAAAGGTATGCGTTTAATTTTGACTAATTTAACTTGCACATGTGGATTTTTTTTCTCGAGGCTAATTTCTGCTGAAGCATAGTTGTGGTATGAATATGACCAAGCCTTTTGTTTTCTTTCAGCTTTGGCTGAAGCTTCTATCATTGTGAGGGAGCTGACCCCATTGACGAATCATTTCATGTGTGCTTGGTTCAATGAAGTTGTTCGTTTCACATCTCGGGATCAACTCAGTTTTCCGTATGTACTATGGCGTCTAAACATGCCAGGAATCAACATGTTTCCTGTGTGCACTCGAAGGGACCTTGTGAACAGTTTGGGTCACACAAGGAAAGTAAAACCTCTTACACAGACGAATTCAGATTCTTCCACGGCATGACCTTTCTTCTTGTTCATTTGCGGACAGTCAACTAACCGGTGGTTTACGTGGTTCTAGGCTTCCACTTGTCTTGATCCACAGTTTTGTTGTAAATTATTCTTTTGATTTTCTTCCTCGAGAAACATCATGACTTGGTTGTACAAGGACTTGCACCTGTTACACGTCAAAAGCTGTTGCTTTTCTGTATGTTGACATTATTACCTGTACAAATCACGTTTTCTTTTGGTTGGAAGGAGCACTATTCTGGTTCCATTTTACAAGTATGAACATTACCTCCCAACTATTCTACTTTTCAAGTGCAATCTTATCCATGAAAATTAGAAACGAACTCTTTTGCTATGGTTTACGCTGTTACAAACTGTATTTCAGTAGTCCAAGTAGATGCATATCTACCAGAATGTACTTACTGTCATCTGTTCCAAGCTCCAACCATGCTATGCAAACTCCTCTTCTTTTTCTAGAGAACATACCTAGCCCCTTTTTAGGGAGAACTGTTTGTTTTTCTTTAGAATGACATGAAAAAATTAAGGTTGTTTTTTGAGCAAACAGTATGTCTTTATTGATAAATTAGACAAAGTATATCAGATCAAAATAAAATTAAAAGAAACAACAAAAAGCCAAGATAAAACAAAAAATTGCATCATGTCCTTTGTAGTTGTCGACTCTACATTCTTCTCTTGCATCTTAATTTTCCTCCCTTGATACATCTAGTGCAGAAACATCAGAAGACCAAACATCCACAAGCTGAACTAACCTCAAAGGTTTAAAGAATAGCTCCTAATAACACGTAAGAACCTAAGATTGTTGAACGCGCCCAAATAACCTTAAAAGGTTTAAAGAGTCGTATGAGCCACACACTCCTAGCACAGTAGAACCTAAGATTGTTGGACACACTATGGCTGAAGGCAACACCCCTTACGAGAAATGTTGCCAAACTGATACTTTGTTGTCGTACTGTCGGGGAAGAAGACCGGAAGCACAAAAGAAAGAATCTCTGGTGATAAGAACATTCTTGACAATACCACCATCACCGTCGCCAAAAATAGGCCGAAGTGCGGATGACAATCCTCAACAATGGGAGTCGTCGATCTGCGGGACCAAAACACCACAACCCCTTCCTCATGTAGGTCGCATCGTGATGCGGATAGGACCATGAATGACATTGTCTTTAACGTCGAGACTTTGCCGTAAAAGAATCAAACGTAGATGAAAAACAAACTAGACCCCGAGCGTTGCTCCGTAGTTCCCCCCACCTCCGAAAGCCGAAAAGGCGAGCAGGAGGCCAGGAGATCCAACCTAAGCCACAAAAACCTAGTGAAGGTCAGCTAGGGCTTTTTTTTTTCTTTGTTGACAATGGGAAAATATAGTAAGGTTGTACTGGCAATTTTTTTTGAGGAGGGAGGGGATGCATGGGCCTACTCGTTTTCCTTGGAAGCCCATGAGCAAAGCCCATCCCTCCTCCTCTTTCCTTCCCTCTCTCCTTCTATCCCCTTCTTATCCTCTTCCACTCTCCCCGCCTCGCCTCCCCGAAAGGAAATGCCAGTGGCATTCCAGTGAACCCACCCCCGACCTAGGTCCGGACACCGCCGCTGCAATGGCTACGGCCATCTCCGCCTCCGCGCTCCTCTCCTCCGCATTCGCCGGCGATAGGCGCCACCGCCGCGCGGCGAGGCCCGCGCCCCGCCGCGCCGTCCCGGCTGGCCTCACGGTGCGGTGCGAGCAGAGCGACAAGCAGAAGCGGCAGCCTCTTTCCGCACTCGTTCCCCGCGAGCAGCGCTTCATGTTCGAGGGCGACGAGCTCTGCGGACCCGTACGAGCCCCCCTCTTATCTCTTTCTCCTATTCCCTAGTGCTGCAGTTCATATTCAGGAAAGGAGTAGTTATGCTATATGACATTTTTCGGTTTGAAATTCTCAAATGGCTCCTTTCAGTTTCATCAATCCATTGCATCATTAGTCTATCACAGACTCACATGTCACTATACAATGCTCATGGCTCCCTACGCTCCAAAATAAGTGTAGTGGTTTTAATTCAAACCACGAAGTTTATTTATGATGATACATAAACTGTCAAAATTAGCTGCCAATAGTTCGTGGTGAACGAAGATTCATGGAAATGAAAGAAGAATTTAATACAAGAACGAAGCTAATATGGTACAAATGGTTTTGTTCTCGTACATCTGGTAAACAAATGCGGCATTGGCTCATCGTGGCCACCCATGTTTCTGTTTAGTGCTTATGCTCATTAAGACCTCAGCATGACTATCTTGTTTATGTTCTGCCGGTGTATTGGTATCATGGCTTGCTTGCTTGCTTGTGTGTGTGTGTGTGTGTGTGTGTGTGTAACCTTTTCTGTGTAGTAATCTGATCAATCAATTTAATTCGCAGGACATATGGAACACAACATGGTACCCTAAGGCTGCAGATCACGTAACTACCGAGAAGACGTGGTATGTTGTTGATGCAGAGGACAAGATTCTTGGCAGGCTAGCATCTGCTATCGCAGTGCATATGAGAGGGAAAAATGAGCCTACATACACTCCAAGTGTGGACATGGGGGCTTTTGTTATTGTGGTACGTACCGAAGTAGTTTGTATGGTGTTTACAGAATACCGTAGCACAGTGTTTTCTTCAAGGCAAATAAGTTCATAACATTAGCGGGAGGAAAAAATAAGCACCTAAACCCATCTTGATTCTTGAAACCTATTCCCTCCGTCCCATAATATAAGACGCTTTTTGAGACTATACTAGTGTCAAAAAATGTCTTACATTATGGGACGGAGGGAGTAGATTATATCATCATATTAATGTGACTTTTCATTACAGAAACTACTGTACATTGCTGAGCTGACATACTGAACTATGTGTTTTACATAGGTTAATGCAGAGAAGGTTGCTGTTTCTGGTAAAAAGCGGTCACAGAAGCTCTATAAAAGGCACTCTGGACGGCCCGGTGGAATGAAAGAAGAAACTTTTGATCAGCTTCAGAAAAGGATTCCGGAGAGAATTATCGAACATGCTGTGCGTGGCATGCTTCCTAAGGGCAGGGTAAGAAATCATCTTTTGGCATCTGTTAGTTCTTACCTAATTGGTTGCATCAGGTATTTTGTGTGCCCCAAAGTTTTATTTGTATTACCATGAATTTGAAATGCAGATAAGTTTATTTAATTAAATATTGCCAATAAGTTTTACCTTGCCATTGGCATGAATGTGGAATTACCAAAATATTTGCTCTTAACTTAAGTGCTCAGATGACCCGGCTAACAAGTATTGGATTGTGTTCTCTGAAACGCTCATGTTAGCTAGAAAATATCTTGTGTTTCTAAACCCTTTGAATCTGCCTACTCTCCTGTTAAGTGCTAGTTTTCTCAATTCGCCAAATTTACTCTTTCTGTGATCTTCTCAACCTTTGGACCATTTTGCAGCTGGGAAGAAGACTATTTACCCACCTCAAGGTGTACAAAGGATCAGAGCACCCGCATGTGGCTCAAAAACCTGTTCCACTGCCCATCAGAGACAAAAGAATAATGAAGTCTGGCTAGAGAACCCCTGGATATTGAAAAAAGATACAGCAACCGTGCTTCCCTGCCCAGTGTTAGGAGCGTGACCCGAACATTCATGTCATCTGTCCACAAGAGTGGTGTGTAATTTTTTTGTAATTTAATTATGTTTCTGCAAAAGCTTTCGATTCCTTTCGGTCATAATTATGTCGTATGGTACGATTTGATGGAATTCAAAATCTGAGTTTTGGAAGGTGTAAATTTTGACCAGTGGTTGAGGTAGTTGTCACGACCCTCATCGGATCGGACCAGGGGAGGTAGAGGGAGATCAAGGAGGAGAAGGGGATCGAGGTAGACGAAGGATAGGTGAGGGACTTGTTCAGCAAGAGAGAGAGTACAGAGTTCGACTGAATTCAGAATACAAGCTGCCCGGCCTATGGCCTCACACACGCATATAACCCTGATGGTCCTGGGCCCCACTAGTCATACACACCCACCTAACTGAAGACTAGTCTTCATCCTTTGCACGTGGGCCCTTGTCGTTCTCCTCCCGTAGTCGCACCAGGGTGCCTTGCTGTCCGCCGTCTTGTTTGTGGTTGCAGCAGGAGAGGAGGGTGTGACATTCGCCCCTCCTTGGGAAGGAGCTCCCGCGACGAGATCGATGTCCGAAAAACGCTGCCGCAGGACATTGTAGTTCTCCCATGTCGCGCTCGCCGGCGACAAGGTGCGCCAATGAACCAAGACCTGCAGAATCGCCGTGTTCCCCTGCTTGACCAAACGACGCTCCAAGATGGCTTGCGACACCAAGTTGCCAATTGTGAGATCAGGTGGCGCCGGCGGCTGATTAAAGACTGGAGAGTAGTCCGGCGTGGACGGCTTGAGCTGCGACACATGGAAAACCGGGTGAATTTTGCTTTCCGGGGGCAATTCGAGCTTGTAGGATGTCGATCCCACCCGACTGATGATCTTGTAGAGGCCAAAGAACTTGTAAGCAAGTTTGGGGCATGGCCGACTGACGACGGAGGACTGCACATATGGCTGCAATTTCAGAAGGACCTGCTCTGGGCATGGCCGACTGACGACGGAGGACTGCACATATGGCTGCAATTTCAGAAGGACCTGCTCCCCCACTGTGAATTCCCTCTCTGTACGTTTGCGGTCCATGTGATGCTTCATCCGTTGTTGGGCACAGAGGAGGTGTGCTTTCAGCATGTCCGTAAATTGTTGGTGCTCGGCGGCTAGTTCCAGGATGGATTCCGGTGTCTTGACTGTGAACAGATTTGGAAGGGCTCCGAAATTGGGTTCCACACCATAGAGGGCCTTGAATGGCGTGCACCCAAGAGCACTGTGATGGATGGAATTGTACCAGAATTCTGCCATGGGCAGCCAACGCTTCCAGCAACGCGGCGTGTCATGGACAGCACAACGTAAGTAATGCTCTAGGCACTGGTTGACACGCTCACTCTGCCCATCCGTCTGAGGATGATAGGTTGTGGTGTATAGCAGCTTGGTGCCGACGAGCGCGAACAACTCCCTCCAAAATGCGCTCGTGAAAATCTTATCCCGGCCAGAAACAATTGAGTCTGGCACCCCATGCAGCTTGACGACTTCGTCGAGGAAAACTGAACCACCAGCGGAGCTGTGAAAGGGTGATGCAGCGCCATGAAATGCACATATTTGGTCAAACGATCCACCACTACAAGGATAACATCCACGCCCTCTGATCGCGGCAGACCTTCGATGAAATCCATTGTGACGTCACTCCAAGCACGAGCATGTATTGGTAAAGGTTGCAGAGTGCCCGAGGGATGTGTGTGCTCATGCTTCGCGTGTTGACAGACCGCGCACTGCTTCACAAATTCTTCCACCTGAAGTTTCATCCCAGGCCAATAAAACAGATTCTTCAGTCTGAGATAAGTAGGCCGGATCCCTGAGTGACCTCCCACTGTTGCTGAGTGCAACTCGCCGATTAATTTGGTTTGTAATGTAGCATTGTCATCAATCCATAAACGGCCTTTGTACTTGATCATACCCCTATCCAGTTCGTGACCATGATCATCCGGACTATGAACAATCAATGCTTGGAGTAAATCAGTTGCTTTGGCATCAGTTTGATAGGAATTATGAACCTCTTGTATCCAGGAAGGCTGACAAGTGGATGATGCTGTCACTGTGAACAAATGGCCGACACGGGACAAAGAATCCGCCGCATTATTGTCAATGCCTCGTCTATATTTGAATTTAAACTGAAGACCTCCCAGCTTGGCCATGGCCTTGCGCTGAACTTCCGAGCCAAGTTGTTGTTCCCCGAGCATGCAGAGACTTTTGTGATATGTCAGAATAGTGAATTGGCCTCGCTGCGGGTAGGGGCGCCAGCGATCAATGGCCATCATTACTGCAAGGAATTCCTTTTCGTAGACAGAGAGTTTCAGGTTGTTGACCCCGAGCGCGCGACTGAGGAAAGCGATCGGGTGGCCTTGTTGAGATAATACTGCTCCAATCCCGGTGTCACATGCATCTGTTTCCACTGTAAATGGCAAGGAAAAATTGGGCAGGGCGAGCACCGGTGTTGTGACCATGGCATGTTTCAGTTCCAGAAAAGTTGTTGTTGCTGCATCGGTCCAAACAAAACCTTTCTTGCTCAAGAGAGATGTCAGTGGTTTTGTGATAATGTTGTAGTTCTTGACAAATTTACGGTAGTAGCCAGTGAGGCCCAGAAAAGCCCTTAATTTAGTTGGCGAAGACGGTTGTGGCCAGTATTGAATAGCATCAGTCTTATCTGTTTCAGTGGCCACCCCCTTCGCTGATATTACATGACCCAAATAATTGATTGATGTTTGAGCGAATGAGCACTTGGATAACTTCGCATAGAGTTGATGGTGATGCAACAAAGCAAACACTTCTCGTAGGTGCAGTAGATGCTCGTTAAGTGATTGACTGTAAGTGAAGATGTTATCCAGGAAAATGATGACATACTTGCGTGTTCCTGGTGCAAGGACAGAATTCATCAAGCACTGGAAAAGGATGGAAAAAGCGGTAGGCGTAAGCGATACGGTTGGCCTTCGCCTAGTGCCTAGCTGGTGCCTAAGCGCCCTAGGCGTGGCCTAGGCGGTAATATAGTTTTTATTCGTAGTGTATTTGTGATTATTATATGGGTGTTGATATTAGTTTAGGGCATATAAATAAGTTACTTACCATCTACTAACATTGGAATATAAACTGTTTGGCATATTAGTGTAGTATGTGGCATGATTTCTTGCTTGGGTAGGCAATTCCTTCCTTGCCCTGCCTAGACCTCCATTTATGCCCTAGGCGAGGCGTTTGGCCATTGCCTAGCGCCTCCTAGGCGCTGCCTTTTCCAATAGAGACTGGAAAGTGGGTGGGCCATTCGTCATCCCGAAGGGCATCACACGAAATTAGAAGTGGCCGTGGTGAGTTTTGAATGCTGTTTTTGGTTCATCTTCTGGGCGCATCCGTATTTGATGGTAGCCTGCCCGTAGATCAATCTTGGAGAAATACTTGCGCCAGACGGTTCGTCAAGGAGCTCATCAATGACAAGCAATGGGAACTTGTTCCTGATGGTAATGTCATTGAGCCGGCGATAATCTATACAGAAACGCCAGGTACCGTCTTTCTTCTTCACGAGAAAAACAGGTGCAGCAAAGGGACTGATGCTCGTAGTGATGAGGCCAGCTTTTAGCATCTCTGCAACCTGACGCTCTATTTCGTCCTTCTGGAGTGGCGAGTAACGGTACGGTCGGACATTGGGTGGAGAGCAGCCGGGCTTGAGATGAATAGCGTGATCGAACTCACGGTGTGGTGGTAATGTGGTTGGTTCATGAAAAATGTCAGCATATTCATCCAAGAGAGCTTGCAACTGTGGGGGTGTGTGATCTTCAGATAACTCTGGTTTGTGCTCAGGATGCAATACCGACAATGCCCACACTTCATTTCCTTGAATCCACTTAGTCAACTGCTCGGCATGTATCTCTATCAATGTCGGCTCTGTCAGAGTACGCACACCTTGCAGTTGGATGTTCATATGAGCGTGTCTGAATTCCATGGTCTTGAGTCCCCAATGAAAGTTCATAGGACTGAATTGAGCGAGCTAGTCGACTCCCAAAATTGCATCATAAGCGCCGAGCTCAAGCAACCGCATATCGGTGCTGAAAGTGTGTCCCTGACACCACCACTGTAATTGAGATACTTGTTGCTTGGACTGCAGGATTTCTCCGCTAGCTACCCTCACTATGACAGGATTGACATTCTGAATTTTACTACCGGCACGCTCTGCAAACGCTGAATTGATGAACGTGTGGGTATTGCCCGAATCCACCAGCAACAACATTACCTGATTGCCAACTAATGTCTTAACCTCATTATGCCCGACGACTCTGTTCCTGCTACGGCATGCACGGAAATTTGACAGCAAATTGTTTCTTCTTCTGTATTTTCATCCAGCAGCTCAAGAGCACGTATGACATCATCCGATAGAAGCTCACCATGATCGCCCACCTCAATGGTCAGAAGCTGACCCACCTTGTTACACTTGTGTTCCCGGGAATACTTATCGTCGCACTTAAAACACAGGCCATTGGCTCGCCTGAATTTCCACAGTTGTCGTTCACGGCCAAAATCATACGGGCCTCACTTAGCACCATCGATGTGGGGTTGTACTGGTCCAGGAGCCACTGCGGGCACCAGTGGTGGAGGGATGGCGCGAGTATATACTGGTGGACGACCCCGTGACTTGCAATGTTCAGATTCTTCCTCCTGAAACCGGGCAAGTGCTGCTGCTCTGGAAACGCTTGTCGGCGCATGCTGGCGCACTCCTGTGCGGACCTCATCCCGTAGACCGATGATAAACTCTGAGACAAAGAACTTCTAATTCAAGGATGGGTCCAGAGCGATTAGGTGGTACATAATTGCCTCGAAGGAAAATCTGTAGTCAGCAACAGTGGAGGTCTGCCTGAGGTGATGGAGGCGATGCAGCAGAGCATCGAATTCGTCCTGCCCAAATTCTGCTTGAACTACTTCCATGA